TTATAACACCCTAACCTTCTCCTGGATATGCCACTGATTAGAATATACAACCAATTTGCGCTTCTCTCAATTTTTTTTTCTTACATCGAAATAATTGTAATTATAATCTTATATCTACATATAAACTATTTGTTTATATATTTATTTAAAAGTATTGCCGATGTATTAATTTTTGTTTGATTTTATTATTTTATTATGAAATATTTCTTAGGTAACCGAAAAGTGGAAAAAATCTATACATCCAGCCCAGAAAAATCCAGAGCTCAAAACTATTTCTACCCATAAAAATATGATTTCTCCTACGAAGTCCTTTCTTATTGTGCCTTTACGTAGTGATGAATACGCTCGGTCAAAATGTCAAATTGATTGTTATTGTAGTATCGGCTGACTAGTGAGTGAGTGAGTGTGCGAAAGCAAGTGTAGGTATTTGAATCGTACTCGTGAGAGAGAATTTTTTTTCACTCATGCATTATTGTTTTGATTATATCTGCGGCTAAATTGTAAGCTGGATGTGAAACAACTGCATTCAAAAAACATTAAAATGGTTACTATTTTGAACCGTAGCATCGTTAGTTCAATTGGATTTAAAACCTGATCCGTCTTAAAAATTTTTAAGGCTTGAGGCAAATCAATTCGGGGGCCCCTCAGCCATCACAATAATTTGAATATGAATAAATTAATATAATAAATTAATTAATAAATTTGAATAATTCGAATTTGATAGGTAAGTGTATAACAAGTTTTACCAAATATTTGCAAATTTTTACATTCCAAACCACGACCAAACAAGATGATTTAATTGCATTAATACAATGAATTATATTTTTAATAACTTCTCAATAATGTATTACCAGTTACCAAATTTAATTAAAATGTAATTTACTCCTAGATAATTTATAGACAGCCATAGAAAATTAAAACTTGGATGTTTTCGCGTCGACAGCAATTTTTTACGTACATGTAGATAAAATAATTTCATTCATCACACTCTGACAATTACCATAATAAATTACAGTTATAACTAGTCAGAAATCAGAATAACTAAAAATATAGTAAATAATAGCATAATACTGCTTAGATATTAATGTTTTAATTAAGTTATTAATATTTTAAATGCATTCTACAATCTATATTACTTAGGCACAATAAGTAGATGTGATACAACGATTATCACCAATATATCTTGAAGTGGAACAATATCGAATTTATTACTTAAAGCTTCTGGTATTTACCAACTATATATCATATATTAACACACAAACACCACCCAAAACCACCTAACTTTGAGGAATTATTTTTCGTCAATGGGTGAACGGAAAATGAAAATTTAAACGTAATAATTCATAAGAAAAAAAGCCTTACAAAATAATGACATTTTAAGTATAAGTTGCCATTTGAAAATCAATAGTTGATGGTGGTTTAACTAATAAATATAAGGGTGAAAAATATTAAACAAATATATAATTCAAGAACAGCATAGATCTAACATTTTGAAAAAAAAAAAAATTGAAAAAAGTAAATAGTTTTTGAGATTAAGAGTGTTTTACGTTTGGTGAATCACAATGTATACACATTTTAGAAAAAAAATATCATATCCTAAATAAAATTTATACAAAATACGTGACATTTTTGAGGAAAGCAGCCACTCATTAGTAAAACTTTCAATTTGCTATTTATTTTTGTCTACATATTTTAAAAAAAAAAAATTTTTATTTTTATTTTTTAAATAATATTAGGTACCAACAGGTTATGATACCATTTCTGCTTTAACCATCTCAGGAGGTTACCGGGGATTGTAGGATTAGTAAGATTTCTGACAAGAGGATTAGAATGAAATAAAGTGCGAGGATGAAAACGTTTATAATATTCTTTAGCTTCTTCTTAAACTAAAGGCATTTTAAGTTATGTATTTATGGTGTAGTTAGAGACATAAGAAGGGGCATTTAATAATTTGTGAAATGCAATGTTTTGAAATAATTGGATTTTATTAATTTTTTTTTTTTTGCGTTTTTCCAAAGCTGAAGGCTTGTAGTTTAATATTGATTTAAGTATATTTATTATTGTTGATCAGGTTTTTTAAAAGATGTAGACCTAGGGCTCAGATTTTTTCTTTTGGACTTGTATGCTGGGTCCAGGTTAGGCTTTTATCAAGGATTAGGCCAAGATACTTAACATTCGATGCACTGGGAATCAGAGTGTTATAAATAAAGACATCAGGGCATGGAGCGAGTCTAGGGGTGAACGTCGAATGTATACATTTGGATTGATTTATTTTAAATATCTAGTCAGTGTATCACTTTTCAATGAGATTGAGGTAAGATTACAGATTTTGAATAGCAATAAAGAGATCAAAGTGTATAGTCAAATTTGAATTATCATCCGCATAGAAGGTAACCAATGTATTAGTTGTGGTTGGTTGGTCTGAGGCAAAAATATTGTACAGGATAGGGGTGAGAATACCACTTTGTAGAACATAAGCAATTATATTGGTTATGAAAAAAAAAATCATCACCAACACGATTTTGAAAATGGTGATCGAAGAGATACGACTTAACAATAACGAAATATGTAGGATAAAGAAAATTTTTTAATTTATGGAGAAGGCCGTCATGCCTTACCCTATCAAAGGCCTGAGAGATATCCAAAAATACGCTTATACAATGAATTTTTTTTTTAGTGAGTAAGATATGACGTCAATTCTGTGAACCTGTTGAACAATAGAGTGAGAAATGCGAAATACAAATTGAGAATCAAGAAGAAAAGATTTTTCGGAATTACATAGAAGGATAAGTTTTAGTAAAAGTTTCTCCAGAATTTCAGCAAAAAACGGGAGTAAACTTATTGGTCGAAAAGTGGTTACTGAGTCAGGTGGCTTATTAGGTTTGGGCATTAGGATGTTGGTAGAAAATTTCCACAGTATGAGAAATTATTATAATTTTTTTACTGGAATTAATAATATGAGAAAGATGAATAAAAGCTTTTTTAGGTAAAAACCTAGCTACTTCAGTAGTTATCAGGTCAAATTCGGGAGATTTCTTGAGAGAGTATTTATTTATGGCAAATTCGATATAATTTGATATGAAATATTTGACAGGATTATATGGCAAGTGAGGTGGGGAATTAACCTTCCAAAACACTAGTGTTGGTTTGTGATTAATTGTCAGGGTGAGGATAAAATATATCAGATAAATGTACTCTAAAAAGTTTAGCTTTATTAGAGTCAGAGATAACATAACTTCTATCCGGATTTTTAATTGATAGATTAGAAATTTTAAATTTAAAAATATTTTTAATCGCTTTCCAAAGACCGCCATTTTTTGGTGAAAGTTTGGTAAGAAAATAAGTGAAGGTCTCAGATTTATGTTTTGCCAGCAATTTTTTTAGGGTGATTAGTTAATTTATTGAATTTTTGCTTATGAGAAGGAAGACGAGTTCATTGAAAGTTAGCTCTAGCTCTACGTTTTTCTAATACTATACATTATACAACGAATGTATACTGGAAGAAGAAGGTTATGAAATGAGGGTTGAGATTTTAAAGTAGAAAACCCGAATTGAAAACTAGAAGAATGAAAATCAGAAATAAACATACAATGCCAAATTTTGATCTAATTTTTTTTCTTTTTTTTGTAAACAAATTAAACACTTTAAAATCGAGACACATTTCAGATGCCTCAAATAAACACAAAATGTTTTATTGGTGGTAGGTTTGATAGTTAATTATTGTTTTTTTATTTGTTTTTTGACAATTTTATATAAAATTATTGTTTTTTTAAAAATGTATCTGATTTTTTATCTTTTATCTTTTTTAAAGATAATTTTATTCAAACTTTTTTTTATCTAAATATATTTTCAGTTTTCTATCTTTGTTTTGATCTAGATAGAAATATATTTATCTGGGTTCAACGCTGCCCACTGCTCCCCCTCCTCATCCCTTGAAGACAGCCCTATGTAGAGCTACGTCGTAGACGAGTTTTTGTTTCGTGTACACTGCGATGCGCTTGATGGGATTGATGGGTAAATATTATTGAATAGTATTGCGTAGCCATATTGATAGCCGTTCTGACGAGTTATTATGCGCGCAGAACGCGGATACGTTTTATCACGCGTGGTGATCGGTGATCGAGGGATCACGCGCATTGGCGCAACTAGATCTAAAATATTGGGGGGGGGGGGCTGAAGTCCTACAAATAAATTTAGTCAATGTGAGCCATAGGGGGCTTTGCCTCCCATACCCCCACAATTTCCGCAACAACAGAAAAATAATAATTATAAATTGAAATAAAAACAATCATAAAATATTATTACCATACTATAATATTAAAAATCATGTACCTACTTCTAAGTAGTACTCGTATGTGGTACATAAAATATGACATAACATCACCGCAATATTCCACCGTCGTCCGTCACATTTATTAGATAACAATATTATTATTAATCGTGTAGGATTGTAGGAATTACAAAATATAAACTCTAATAATAATATTTTCTATTTATACAATTTACCTTTGAATAATTCTCTGCGTCATATACTCATATTATTTAGTATGTATCTCACTATCGCATGTTTAAATTATCATTAAATTTTAAACAATCAAAAAAATTTTGAGGGGGGGGGGCGGCTAAACCCCCCCAAGTCTACCACCAGTTGCGCCAATGATCGCGCGGATCAACCGAAGTCGGAGATCCCCTGCGGAAAGCTGACGACGACCCGATGTGTTTTAGGTGTCCGAGTAATCGCGTCCGATTTGACCAACATTGTGCACGTGTCGTTGTCACGCAAACACACACACACACACACACACACACACACACGTTAACACGCCTAAACGTTTTGCGCACGTTTCGTTTGAATAGAAAATCCATCATTATCGCCGCACCAATGGACCTCATTACGGCAACATTATACGCCCGCGCGATCGTCGCGGACCCGGACCGGACGTGACTGAACTGATTAACGTGTATTGTTCTCCCCGTCTCCGTGTCGCTCAGCGATCCGCGATCGGCGACGATTCGCGTACCGGCCGGCCGAGACGACGTCCGCGCACACCGGGGCAGAACGTCGCAGCACACGCGTCTGGTGCTCGAGTTGATTTTCACGATCGTCCGAATATCCGAAATCGTTTCGCGCCGTCCGGAGCTACGAACCAGTTGGTCATGTACGGCGAGAAACTATTATTATGGTCAGTACAGTGTACGCCGTTCGACGTCCAGTCGAACGTTGTTAACGTAAAAACACCTGGTCCCTTGTACCGTGTCGATCCGACCACAGTGCTGTAAACCGAAACGAATACGCGACACGTTCACGCGGTCCGACGCAATTCGATTTATATTAGTATTGGTTCAATCGCGATTGTTTTCGTTTCGGTGTGTTCGTACGGTCATAGAAAATCCGTTGTTTTCGTACCGACGAATTCTGTGCCGATTGATATGCGCCCTGGGCGCGGGTTTTACGTTTTGGATCGCATATTTTACAATTAAAATATGTAACACGTACGTTTTAATTGCAACATTGAAAAAGATATTCGAAATCGAATGAATCTCGTAGAATCCATACGTTGATGTAGTTCAACGTTTCCAAACGGTATAACCACACTGCGTACATCGTTAACACGCGTCCGCTATCGGTCCATTGAAAGTATTGATTCAAAGCTCGATTGAAATCCTATTGACGTTTTTCGTATTTTATTTTTTTTTTCTAGGACCATAACGTTGTTGTTATTGAACCTGACCGAGTATTCGGCAAGAGCGAAAACCATCTATTTGGCAAATGAAAAAACCGAACTGGACTGGTGGCAAACCGCCGTTATCTATCAAATATACACGAGATCGTTCAAGGATAACAATGGCGACGGAGTGGGCGATCTCAAAGGTAAGATATTATACTGTACCGGTATTCGTCTGTGAGATTGAACACGTGCTTATACGCTACCGTCGATGGGCCCACGCGTTTCGACAGGAATCGAAGAAAAAGCGGATCATCTCAAAGACATAGGCGTGGATTGCGTTTGGTTGTCATCGATTTTCAAGTCACCCATGGCAGATTTTGGTTACGATATATCGGACTTCAATCAGGTCGATGCCACGTTCGGCACGATGGAAGACTTTATGTCGTTGCAAAAAAAACTCAAGTCCTTGGGTAATTGGTATTTTATAATATAACTCATACATATCATGCTCGTATCGTTTCGCGATTTCGAAATTAGTTCAATTATTGTTAATATTATTAGATTAAACTATAACTTTGATGCATATAAATTGTATTATAAATATATCACGGTATACCTACATCATATTTTCAAATAACATCCATTTAAACTTTATACGAATTATATACGAGTATGTTGAAAGGTCATTAGCCTGTAAATTTAAAAAAAAATACATTTATATGCATAGAAGTTTAAAAACTAATGTTCGATGTATATTGAAAAACTGATTAAAAGCTAACTATTCCTCCTAGAAATTGAAAATATTTATTTATTTTACGATATTAAGAAATAAAATATTTAAATATATTAAAAAAATTAGTAACTATTAGTAAAATATATTGTGATCAATTTTCTTTTTTAAGTAAGAAATGTTTAAATTGTTGATAGTTCATATAAAATGCATTACAATATTCTATTAGAATAGTGATTGATTTCTCTTGTGTCTACTATTTATATCTAGAACGAAAAAAAACTTAGATACTACAACTTAATAAATATATGTGATTTTAATATTCAGGAATTAAAATTATATTGGATTTTGTACCCAATCATACGAGTGATGAGCACGAATGGTTTAAAAAGTCTGAACAAAAAATCGATCCATATACTGATTATTATGTATGGAAAAGCGCCAAAATACACAGAAATGGTTTTAAAGAACTACCAAATAATTGGGTAAGATTGTGAATGCAGTGAAATATTTTTAGTCCTGAAATTGTTAATAATTTATGTACTTTGTTAATTTTTCAGCAAAGTGTATTTAGTAATTCAGCATGGGCTTGGAGTGATGAACGTAAACAATATTATTTACATCAGTTCCACTCTAAACAACCAGATTTAAATTATAGAAACCCAGAGTTGGTCGAAGACATGAAGGTAAGATTGTTCTTAAATTGTATTAAAATTAAAAATTATAAATCAAGGATCGAATAATATTCATCTTATTCATCTATATTAGTCAATAGTAATACTTGTTTAATATTTATTAATATAATAATGCAGCATGTTTTTTCTATTGAGTTCATTCAATTATTATTTGTGATCACTAAGCGATTTAGTTTTTTAAAGGTTTTAAATTAAATCTAAAACTATAAGTTGAGCAATAGTCAGCTATGTTTACTAAAAACATCATTATTCACTTTTTGACTATGATTGTTATATTTAAACTTCTTATTTGTTTTACAATAATTCAAAAACTACTTAGAACTTACTCTAGATTCTAAGAATAAAAAACTTAGTCCTTATGTTACCCAAAAAATTAAAATTGATTAAACATGATTGTTTAAAATACGTTTACTTAACCGCTGGGCTAGATTGCAAAATTGTTTTATTGGATATCTATCAAAAAACCCTACTTTTGTTTTATAGGAAACGAGTATAGGTTATAGAAAAATATCTTTAATTTTTTTCAGAACAACATGCGTTTTTGGTTGGATCGTGGAATAGATGGCTATAGATTAAATTCTGTGTCAAATTTGGTCGAAGATTCGAAGTTTTTAGACGAGCCTAAGAAACCGGAGGAAATAGCCGAGAAAGAGAAAAATACTCACAAACAATACTATCACCCGTACACGATGGATTTGCCCGAAACATACGGTATGGTTAAACAGTTCAAGGACATCATGGAAGAATATAAACAGAGAGATGGAAAAACTAGGTAATGGACTGTTATAATCGATTTTCGTAACACATTAGAATGCGGTAAAAGTGCAAATGAAACGATTAAATAATACGAACGAAAGAAAATCAGTTTAAATTTAAATTTTGAAATTCATGAAAGGTAATTTTACATAGTTGTAGTGAGACCAACTATATATGCTAAATGATTCGGAGTGTTGGGCGGTTGATATGATAATAGAACAGAGTATGAGTGTGAAATGAGAATGCTTAGATGGATGAGATGAGTGATAAGAGAAGATAAGAACAAATATGTGAGAGGTACTATTGGTGCAGCGTCGATAGTGGACAAGATGAAAGCAAACTGAAATGGTTTGGACACGTGATGACGAGACGAAAGAAAACATAAGCACTAAGAGTACTTATGAAAATAAATGTTGGAGGGAAAAAAGGAAGAGGAGGACCTCTATTGTTGCATACGATTGATAATGATATGAGGGCTGTTAATGTGTGCGTAGAATATGCAGAAAATGGAGACGAGTGAAGATTTATAACAAAGGTTGGCCAACCTCAAATAGTTGGGAGAAAGGCAAAAGAAAAAAAGTAGAAGAAGATTTATTTTTTCAAATTATTTTTCAAAACTCTATACAACATGATATTATGTAATTGAATAAAATTTCATCCGTATGGAAAAGGGTCTACGAAACATTGAAATTTTAATTAGAAAATAGAATGATCGGCTTTAAACGTTGACGTCTATATATACTCGTAGTAACATACGAGTAGCAATCATATCTTAATCGTTGGATTTATGATCAAATAGCAAGTAACAAGTAGACGTATTGAAATCCAAGATCTCCGGGATATCAATCGGGACTCTAAAAACTAACATGGTCGATTGGTATTGCAATGACGAAAGTAGACAACTGAAGGATAATGCATGATTTTTTTTTTTTAATCGTACAATTTACTTGGTTGCGTAACTGCGTGCTTACAGAGTATTAATAATTGAAGCGCACACGTCCATAAACAACACGATGAAATATTACGGCACCGATCCCGGTGCCTATTTACCGTTCAACTTCGGGCTGATAACCAAACTGAATGACGGATCAAACGCCAGCGATTTCAACGACGCGGTGTACACGTGGCTGGAAAACTTGCCGCGGGGAAAATGGCCGAACTGGGTGGTAAAACGTTTTGTAAAAAATCAATCAAAACCTACGCATATTACTGATCGGCCACATGTGGATTTCAGATCGGAAATCATGACAATCACCGTGTGGCCACTCGAATGGGTCCCGAGATGGTTGACGCGATGAACATGTTGAACCTGCTGCTGCCGGGCACCGCTTTCACGTACATGGGTGAGGAGATAGGGATGGAGGACGCCAGGGTGCGGTGGAACCAAACGGTGGACCCGATGGGCCTGAACGTCGGCCGGGACGGTTACCGAGAGCTGAGCAGGGACCCGGAACGGTCCCCGTACCAGTGGAACGCGGACGTAAGCGCGGGATTCACCGTGGTCTCCAGCACGTGGTTGCCGGTGAACCCAGATTACTGGCATCTCAACCTGGCCGCGCAGAAGCAACGGTCGCACAGCCACTATACCGTGTACAAACGATTGACCGCGCTCAGAAGGACCCGTACCATGCGGAAGGGCGCTTTCGAAGGGCACGTGTTGTCCGAGTGGGTGTACGCGTTCTCCAGGTAAACGCGGTGACCGATTCCCCCTACTCGTCCACCCAATCAATCCTGTTTCTAGCCCTTGCACTACGATAACATCAAAAGTTTAATCGGAATAGGAACTGTACGAATTCGGCTGCATTCTTTGATATATTTTATTTTACCATCTCGTGTGAACACAAAAAATCGTCCACAGCATGGATCACGTATTTACACCCATTTGCGATATTTCCTGAGATATTTATTAAATATTTGAATATTTTACTAGTAGTCCTTGTCACCGAGAGTGGTATAGAAAAAAAAATTATCTGATTGTTTGCATTGTCTCGGGTGACATCGTGATGGGTTATTTCATCACGGAACACTCCTTACATTATTTAAAATGCTTAACTGGCATGTCGCTGTACTTATTAATAATTAGCGTTTGCATACGGTAGGTAGTAGTGTCCACATTACGATGGACTATAGAATCATGTACAATAGTCGTTGTTGATTTGTTTAAGTAAACACTCAACATGCGTGTGCACGTGTTTGTAGAAATAGGTGCACCCATAAATACCGCATAACTATATAAATTACCGGTGATGTGTTAAAACTAAGTTGCCTTCATGTTTTTTCTTTTAATTGTTTTTACTTATGAATTTCGTGTCTCGTTCAGATCACTAAAGGGAGCAGAGACATACTTGGTGGTCTTAAATGTAGGTTCTCAGTATGAGAGAGTCGACTTATCTAGTTTGTCAATAATCAAAGAAGAGAATTTGATGGTTCACACATCCAGCGTTAATTCACAATATTCCATAAGGTGTGTGTACATAATAATACTCCATAAGTTTATTTGTATACTATAGATTTGTTTATCGTTTTTTCTCCACAGGGACACATTGAATACGACAAATTTCGAGATGAGACCTAAGTCGGCGTTGGTGTTGGTCTCTGAACAATATTTTACGTCATCTGCACTTCCATTGTCGACCACGTCTCTGGTTGTTTTAACGTTCAGTTGGGCTATCCAGTGGTTATCAAATGGTGTTTGAGAAGATTTATTATATTATTGTATCATTGTTCCTTTTGATTAAAATATAAGATCTCTAAGAATGTAAAAAAAGGAAAATTATAAATGTATAAACAACTTAAAGATGTATTTTCACTGTTGGCAATATTGTATTCAATAATTATTTATAAAACCCCATAGTAATTTATCGATACACTGATTCACCGATAAAAATAAAATAAATAACATTTTAAATAAGTGAAGATAGCATTGTCTTTTCACTAATTAGATACTAAGTAGTTAAAATATACATATATAAAAAGATTAAGTTGCAAACATTAAAAAATAAGATATTTAATAGCCAATAAATGTAAAATAATATAATTTACGGAATACTTGACACAAGAATATTGGTTTTCAGTCAAATCGAACGTTATGAATTTGCAATAATCCAAAATCAATATTGATTATTTAATCAAAAAATATAAGATTTTTTTTATCTAATCCAGTTTGAATTTTCACCCACATATAATGCGTCCAGAGAGGGTGCTTTTCGGTACTATAGGTCTGTTGATTTTTAAAAAAAAAATAATAATAATTTGTGTAACATAATTAATATTTTATTTGATTTTATAATCGTATCTGTTGTATTAATTCGTAGACGCACTAGATCATACACATATTAAATAACTATATCAATAATTATAAAAAATAATAAATAAAATAAATATAAATTATAAACGTATAATAAATATACGGTTTTTGTTGTAGATTATTAATTCTACGTTAAATAAATTGAAAATAAATTATACCTATCGCATGGTTCAGTAATTCATAACTGGCGTAATAAAAATAATAATTACATTTTAAAAATAACCGATAAGACTGCTAAACAATTATCTTAGAGCGGACCACCAAATATAAAAGTACAAATAATATCAATATTAATCTAAATATTATTTTGTTATACGTAGTAGGTGTACAATATACATGTAGGTACGTATTGGATTGAGATACAAGTTGTAGGTACACATTAATCTGATCAGTACACTCTTATAAGTGCACTGGTTATATTGTGTAATATCTATTTGAAAATGTTCAAAAGTATTGTTAAGTAAACGTTGAATTATGAAACGGTATGGCAATAATAATCTGTTTAAACATCAACGACGATCTGAAAATATCCCGTGCATCAAAATATCTCTCGTTCAAAATATCCCCCGTTAAATTTATCCTCGTTATAAATATCTTACGTTGAAAATATCCCTGTTACAAATATCCCAATTAAAAATATCCTATAAAGAAAATATTCCCAATAATACTATCCTTTAATTCATATTTATATTTTTTTATTTTTTAAAAAAGATTTTATAAATTTTAATTACACTTTTATTGTTTTTGGCAATGTATATTTTGACTTGCCTTACTATATTAAAATTAACATAATTTTATAATTAAATATGTATAAAAAAAAATTTTTTTTTAAATGAAAAATTACACGCGATGCCTTTTAAATATTTTAGTATAGTAGCATGTTCATAGTTATGAACCACTTATTTTATTATCTGTCCAACTTCTCGTAAATTTTATTTTTATTAACGGGTAGCTCACCAGACATGTATTTTTCAATTTTTGCTTCTTAAAGACCTAAATAATCGTAATGTAACATAATTGTAATAATATTACTTAAATAAAAATAAAAAATATAATAGTTGTTCATATAATTGTATATTTTATTTACCTTGATCTAATTAGAGACACTTGATAAATTTCCATATCGATGGTTCTTAACTATGAACATGTTACTGAAATTAACTATTTAAAAGGTATTGCGTGTAATTTTTATGTATATCGTTATGAATTAAGGGATAATATTAGTGGAGATATTTTGTATACAGAATATTTTTAATTGGGATATTTGTAACGGAGATATTTTAAACGGGGATATTTTTAAAGGTGGATATTTTCAACAAGGGATATTTTAAAGGGCAACCGTATTATACTGCCTACCTCAACTTCAATAGTTTATAAATATTGAAATATACTAAAAAAAAAAAAACAATAATAAATCACATCCATATGCGATAATATGATATGATATTTCTATTGCATACTGCATACTATAATTACTTTTATCTCATGCAATTTATTCTACGTTCATTTTGACTGATACATTTCGGCCAAGGACTACGGCGTGTTCGATCTTCGTGAAACGAAATGATAAATAAAATTATGTTCAATTCGACCAGACACAACGGCCTATCATGTGATCAACGAATCGTGAAGGGCTTATGATCTCAAAATATGGTTACAGACGTAAATGATGAAACCACGTATACGGGATAAAACTTCAGCTCTGATTTTGTCACGACCCGCTTTTAATACACAACTGTTACGCGTACGATGTATTCGAAAGATCTCGCTGAGGGGAAAAAATGGAAATTATCATCGGCGGATAGAGTATAATAAATACGTATACGGATAAACAATGACGTTTGAGATGTTGTCGCCTGAGCTACTACCTTAAACTACTAAATTTTCGCGCACCCAATACACCATACACAAATCCATCATTATTGCGCCGAATAGACTTCATTATAGTAATTCACTGGCTCGATTTCGCGGTCAATACGTGACCGAATTATTTTACATTGTGCTCCGTCGGTGCCCGTATCACGTAGCTCGGCGTAATATGATTTTTATTTTCGTGAATTCACATGCAAACGGTTCAGTTATTCGCGGGAATCTTAAGTCTCTGCGCTCATAAGTCACATGACAGCGAGCTTAGAATCGTTCGTTAAATTTTGAAAAATAAAAGAAAACCCTTTGTTCTGAAGAAACGCACCATCAAACTATGAACACTTTAGCGTCGTGTAATGAGAAATTCTGGTTAGTATTGAACGATATATTTTCTTAACAGCGAAATAATAAAAATTATAATATTAAACTATGTTTCAACGTATTTGTTTTGTGATTTCGTATGCTAAATCTTAAATAATAACACAGATACCTGTGCACATATACCTGTAGTATATGTGTGGTAAGTATATTATTCTTTTAAACTATGTAAATATGTTTACTGTCTGGAATTATCACTGATACATAACTAACAAATCACAACTTAACGACATCTGCTCATAAACTGTTAACGAACACGTAAAAAAAATACACTATATAATTATGATTCCATGTTAACCTTAAAACCGTCCAAACCACTTAACTCAGTAACCCAAATTACATACGCGTAAAAAATTAACGAAAATAAATTAGAAATAAATAAATTATTAATAAGATGGAAAATTGTACATTATATATACGTAACGGCACTGTTATAGTTTTAATGTATGTGAAAGGTTATTTCCATCTATACTTATTATATTTCATGTCCTTTTTTTTCATTCTTTCATCCATTTAGTTAGTTTTGTAAAATTAATTGTTGATTATAAACATCGTAAAAAATATTACAATTGACTAATTTCATACATACAATACTGTAGTAAACAAATTTTACTTAATCCATTACATAATACCGTATTTTCATTAAATGTCTGAACTACCATAATAGTACGGATACTAAAAGGGTAGTTACAAATTTTAATTAGAATATCATTTACTTAACTCACATCAATTTATGTTAAATAGTTATCAGTATTATTATTATTACTTTTTTTTTTTTTTTGTACATTTAAGGATAAATAATTTCGGTTAACTAATTATAGCACGATAAATTTTGCTATAATATTCAATTTTTATACGAAGCTGTAATTTAAATTTCCATCTATTATCGATTGAAATATATAATATATTTTATATAATGGTGGAACTAGGGAGAGAAAGACGGAGATTCATTCTCGGGCTTATCATTTTAGAGGGTGTAATGTTTAAAGTACATAATCTATTATTGATTACCAATTGGATATTTTTAACTTTATAACTGATAACGTATTTAAAATTCAAGAAGTATGATCGTATGCTAACTATCAGACAAAGATTATAGGGAAGAATATTTTATTTTTGGTCCATGATAGGGCGTGATTTTAACCCCGGGCGTGAAAATTCCTAGTTCCACCTCTGATTATATATTATATCCTCGAAGAAAATATATAACAATACATCACAAATGCATGCATCACGATTATATTGCGGAACAATAGAGACATAATAAGAAACATACGCTTATTTTATGAACAACTAACCTTAAAACAAACAGTTGCTGCATTAGAGTTAATTAAAGTTAATTTTGTATTTATTTGTTTTACTTTAAATGGTTTTAAATTAGACAATTAAGTATCAAATGATAATATTTATCTGTTTCAATTTTTTTATTCTGAGTAAAAGGAAGAGTTTATTGACTTTTCTATGATAAAGGATTTTTATCAGTTAACACATTTGAGTGATACTAAGATATTCTTGAAGTATCTAAATTCGAAATCGATTGAAAATTAGATGCCGAAGAAATTTGATATTTTACCTACTCGTATTTGATTCTTAAAATAATATATAAATCTTCAAATCTGTTACAGTCGCTACAATAAATATTTTTAATCACATTAATAATATTTTTTAACATTTTTATTATTTACTGTTAATATTACTAAACATTTTGAAGGAAAACCCACAAATAGTTTAATTTATATTTATTTTAGCAAATAATTTATGTTGAATATATAGTAAATTATTTTTTAATTCTTATAAATTTGCCTCAAATAATTTATACATTTTTGATACATTCAATAAGTACACCAAAATATATTACACTTAAACTTACTTGGAAATATTTTTTTTTGATTTTTAAAATTCTTACTCTTTTATACAATGAAACTGTAAACCTGTATTATATATTATGAAGTAAGCTGCATTGGATTACTATAAGTTCCACTTACATGTACTCTGTGTGCGATCCAAAACTATTGCGGGTAACAAAGCAAAGTAGTTTAAACGTTTGGATCCTGATTGAAATTCTGATTCTTATCTGATAACTGTTGCAGTATGATACTAATGTTACTGAATTCGGTGTCATATTCTACTAAAGCAAAAACTATCTTCATTGCGAATGAAAAAAGCGAACTGGACTGGTGGCAGACTGCGGTTTTCTATGAAATTTATCCGAGATCGTTTAAAGATAGCGATAAAAATGCGGTGGGAGATATCAAAGGTAATGTTTTGAATATATTGTTTGAAAAATTATTTGTTACGTAAATGTATGTGTTTCAAAAGGAATCGAAGAAAAAGCGGAGTACCTCAAAGAAATAGGAGTGGATTGCGTTTGGTTGTCACCAATTTTTAAATCACCAATGGCAGATTTCGGTTTCGACATATCAGATTTCTATCAGGTTGATAGCATTTACGGTACCAATGAAGACTTGATCTCATTGCAAAAAAAACTCAAGTCATTAGGTAATTAATAAATAACATTTTCGACAAGTATACCTAAATCAAATCAATGAAAAGTTCTAAAATGTTTTATGATTTCATCTGATTAGTTTTTGATATTTTATAATAAATTTGTTATAAAAATAAAAAACTCCTTAGGAATATATAAAGTAGAAGTACTAATTCAATTTCATTAATATATATCCAAAAATAAACATCAGTCTTATATTTATTTAAATATTAATGATGTATTATTGTTTTGTTAATTTTACATTAATTATAAATAATAATTTAATTAAAAATTATTATCCTTTGATTGGTTTTAAATACATAAAAAGTTTTTTCATTACAAACTACTTTATTGTTAGATTATAAAAATTAATTATTACACGTTATGAAAAAAAATATATCAACTGAATACATTTTTTGATTTAGGTATTATAAAGTTATTACCTTAAAAACATATTTTATACAGTAAATCTCTTAATTTGAAAAGTTTACTTATTTAATTTAAACAAGTTAGAGTTAAAACCTGGGTCACACTAACCCAGGTACAAAAGGAGTATTTGCACCAGGAGCAAAATTTTGAGGGATGACAAAATATTTAAACTACCTATCTGAAAAATAAAATTTTACATTACTTTTTAATAAATATTTTTTTTAGTTCAATACCTAAGAAAATTTTTAAAAATAATTTATAAGATTAAATCATTTCAATATTAATTTTACATTTTTCATTAAAACTCTACTTATAACATTGTAAAATGTCTAATTATTGCAATAACTATTGGACGATACACGTAATCACACGAATTACACTATATTAGACGATTATAAATGATTTGGCCTATAATATTGTTAATCTATTATTATAACCAGGGCTTGAAAGTTCATTCACTAAAAAACGCACACATAAGCATGCAATAATGTACTAACATTTGATGAAATATGCATTCCGATATGCACTAAAAAATTCAAAATATACATTCATATAAAATTTATATGCATAAAATATCTTCAACTATGCACGAAAAAAAATGTATAAGCATTTTTTAAAATAAAAAAAACTATCCATTCATATTTTTAAAATAAAAAAAACTACCCATTCATATTTTTAAAAGTTGTATTTTATTTCTTCGATTACATTTTATTAAAATTATATTTAATTAACACACGTTACAAAAAAAATAAGTTGATAGATTGGCATGGACACTTCAATGGAAGGAGGGTGGTAGTCGTGCGCAATAACATTGTTTCAATGGTACTATTCTTAACTTATAAAATCCAATGTCATACAAAACTAAAAATACTGATAAAATACTAAGATTTTATAAACATGTTTGGAAAAGTAAATAAAAAAGAATTCAAGCATTTATTGATCTAATTATTTTTTAACTTTCATGAAAAACGGTTTTGCTGAAAAGAAAAGAAAAAAAGAAAATATTCAAATGTATAAGCTTATGAGCCTTGATTATAACTATTCAACTTATTGATGTTTACTTATGTTATATTTTCAATATGAGTTAAATCTCTTTTTAAAAATTGTCTATATAAGCGTATTTATGAATACATAAATGAGTTATAATACTAAAACAATTTTTTTTTTAGTTATGATGATAGGAGAGGGGAGTAATCGGAAAAACTTATTTGTTCCATGGCGACATTGGTCCTTAACCCGTTTCTGATTATAACCCAAGTTTTCTAATACATTCAACAATTTTTTACAAATAATATATTACATACATACTACAAAATCGTTCATTTTTTATACAATATATACACAATACACTGGTTATTTATTTTCATTAGTTGAATAATTTGCAAGTGAATCAATTATTTAATATTTTACATAAAAATGTTTTATTTCTAACTTAATTATAAAATAGTATAATAATATATTTATATAGGGATAAGAATTATTTTGGATTTTGTACCTAATCATACAAGTGATGAACACGAATGGTTTAAGAAGTCTGTACAAAAAATCGATCCGTATACAGATTATTATGTATGGAGAGATGCTAAAATCGATCAAAACGGTTGGAATTTACCACCAAATAATTGGGTAAGATTATTAAAGTGTTTGTAAATATGTTAAATTTGTGTTTCAGTTAATTAATAATTAAGTCATGTACTTGTAATATGAATTGATAAACGAGTGTTCTCTAAAATCGTCACATTCTTTGACTTTATTTGTAATAAGCTATTATAAATAGCATTTGTTATTTTAGCTCTTGAATACTTAATGAAAATGAATAAAATGATTTATCAATAATTATGATCTCGAACATCAAAACATTTAAACTTGATAATATTTTTAAAAATATATTCTATACATGTAAAGAATATATTATAATTCTTTAAATTGTATTTTACCGCACTCTGCACTGTTAGTGTGGTTATAAGGTGATTAGTGATAACAATAATAATGATAAGCAAGTTATGATAAAATAAATTAATTGTAATAAGGAAGATATGTAATATTATATATTAGTAGTTTAGGAATTGATATTTTATTGAATAACAAATATTTATTGTCGTTTCTTTATGTTTAGGTAAGTTCTGTATATAATATAAATAATATGTAATAATAATAAATAAAACTTTATGTTTAGAGCAACACAATACCAGTGTGATTTGTTTGTGGTCAATTCCTGAATAAAATAAATAACAGTCTTATAAAACAACAATTTCGTTTAAGCAATATGAAGAAGCTGAATTAAATGACACAGATCAAAAAAACTAATTGTTACACCATTAATTAAAGTCAAACTGCTATTAGATAATAAATTAGAAATATTTGGGATATATGACTCTGGGTCTAATGTTTCATTAATAAATTCTAAATTATTAAAAATAAAATACAGAAAAATGAATAATAACAAAAATGCAAACTTAAGAACAATTAATGGTGTTAAAAAAACAAAAGGTTTGACAACTATAAAAATTAAAATATTTGAAATTGAAGAAAAAGTAGATGTTTATATCATAGATGAAGAAAACTTCAAATATGAATTTTTGATAGGATTAGATATTATAAAAAAAATTCAAACTTATTCAGAATGAACATTTAAAAATAACTCAAAACAACAATTTAAATCAAAAAAATAAAATTGAAGAAAAAAAAGAAAATATTAAAATAACAGATACACAGGAAAATAACCACCAAACTAAGATAGATTATTTAACTAACAATCAAAAATATAAAATAAATAAACTAATTGAAAATAATAAGTCAATTTTTGCAAATGACAAATACGACATTGGTACAGTGAGAGGATATGAAGCACATATTGATTTATCAGTTGACAAATACTGTAGTAAAAGACCTTATAGATGCTCTGTAGAGGATAAAAAGGAGATAGAAGAACAAATATTAAAATTACTTGAAAAAAAACTCATTGAAGTATCTTACAGTCCATTTGCTGCACAAATAACATTAGCATTTAAGAAAGAGGATAAGAGAAGATCCAGATTATGCATAGATTTCAGAGACTTAAACAAAATTGTAGTACCTCAAGCACAACCATTCCCACTGATTGATGACCTAGTGATAAAAACAAGGAATTGCAATTACTTTTCGACTTTAGATATAAATTCTGCTTTTTGGTCGATTCCACTCAGGGTGGAGGATAGAAAAATACTGCGTTTGTGACACAGGAAGGACATTTTCAATGGACTTGCCTGCCCTTTGGTTTAAAAACATCACCAGCAATTTTCCAGAGAGTCTTAAGTACAATATTGAGGGAATATAAACTTACAGACTCTGCTGTTAACTATATTGATGATATTCTTATATTTTCTAAAAATTGTAATGATCACATTAGTCACTTAACACAGTTATTAAAGGCAATACAAACTGAAGGTTTTAGATTGAAATTTATAAAATGTACATTTGCAACAGACTCGGTGAAATATCTTGGTCATATTATACAGAATAACTCTATCAGGTCTGTAAAAGATAATCTAGTTTCAATAAATAATTTTCCTGTTCCAAAACTCAAAAAAATATAAGGCAACTTGTGGGAAAAATAAATTTTTACCGTGAATACATACCAAATAGAGCAATTATCCTAGATCCATTGCATAATTTACTTAGAAAAAACCAAAGATTTATCTGGTCGATAGAGTGTCAAAAAGCATTTGAAACTATAAAAAAACTACTGTGCTCACAACCGGTTTTAGAAATTTTTGATACAGATTTACCAATCAAGATTTACACAGATGCATCTTTGGAAGGTGTAGGAGCCATTCTCAAACAAACACAGCTTAATGGAAAAGAAAAACCAGTGGCATACTTCTCGAAAAAACTGAATGCAGCCCAAAAAAAAAAAAAAGCAATATATTTGAAATGTTTAGCTATTAAAGAAGCAGTAAGATACTGGCAATGCTGGCTTATAGGTAAATCATTTATAGTATATTCCGATTACAAACCATTAGAGAACATGAACATTAAATCTAGGACTGATGAAGAGCTAGGAGATTTCACCTACTATTTGTCACAATATGACTTTCAAATTAAATATGCTCCAGGGAAAGATAATTTGGAGGCAGATTGCCTAAGCAGAAACCCAATATTGGAGACAAATGATAATAAATAAGAACAATTAAAAATAGTAAATCTAATAAGACTGGATGATATTCTAACAGATCAAAAAAATAATGAAGAGGTAAGAAAAAAAAAACAAGCTGATAAAAAAAAACAATGTATATTTTAAAAAGTGTAGAAAAATAAAAAAAATTATGTTATCAAAGGAGTTCAGTATTAAACTCATAAAGAACGTACATGAAAATTTATGTCACATTGGTATTAAACAAATGCAAAAGAAGATTGGTATAGTATACACAGCAAAAAACTTGACAAAAAATATAATACAATTTTGTAAAAACTGTGGGATATGTATGAAAAACAAATCAAGAGGAAATGACAAATTTGGTTTAATGTCTCATCTAGGTCCAGCCACAAAGCCTTTTGAGATAATCTCAATAGACACGATTGGTGAGTTTGAAGGTTCGAACTCCGGAAAAAAATATCTACATCTTTTAGTGGATCATTTCACGAGATATGCATTCATTTTACCATCAAAAACACAGAGTGTGAATGATTTTGTAAAATTATTCAACAATGTAGCAGACACAGATGAAATAGGTATCCTTCTCACCGATCAATATCCGGGAATTAATTCAAAAGAATTTAAACGTTTTTTGAGTGAAAAATCGATACAGATGGTTTTTACTGCTATAAATACCCCTTTCTCAAATGGAATAAATCAAACACTTGTAAACAAAATTCGCTGTAAAATCAATGAAAAAAAACAAAAAAATTAGCTTGGACAACAATAGCACAAGAATGTGTTAATAGATATAATGATACTGATCATTCAGTTACGGAGTTTGCACCAAGATATTTATTATATGGTACAGATGTTTCAATATTGCCACATGAATTAAAAGAAAGAAAAAAAACAGAAATGGATTGGAAATGTGATAGGAAAATAGCATATAAGAATACAATAAAATCACATGATTATAACAAAAAACTATTTGATAAAAATCGGAAAGACACGGAATTCAACGTAGGAGATATGGTGTATGTGGAAAATGGAAACAAACTAAACAGGAGACAACTGGATGAACTGAGGAGTGGACCGTACAGGATTATAGAGAGGATATCAAATTCAATCTATAGGATTAACACAGGTCACAAAAAATCGGAATCGAATAATTTCCATATAACGAAACTTATTCCGGCTTCTACATTGGATGGAGTAGAACCAGTTGAACTTAACTTCGAGACGAAAATTTTACAGAAAATTTTCCACCCCAGTGGGGGAGATGTAAAGAATATATTATAATTCTTTAAATTGTATTTTACCGCGCTCTGCACTGTTAGTGTGGTTATAAGGTGATTGGTGATAACAATAATAATGATAAGCAAGTTATGATAAAATAAATTAATTGTAATAAGGAAGATATGTAATATTATATGTTAGTAGTTTAGGAATTGATATTTTATTGAATAACAAACATTTATTGTCGTTTCTTTATGTTTAGGTAAGTTCTGTATATAATATAAATAATATGTAATAATAATAAATAAAACTTTATGTTTAGAGCAACACAATACCAGTGTGATTTGTTTGTGGTCAATTCCTGAATAAAATAAATAACAGTCTTATATACAGATAAAGCAATTGTTGACCAAAATATTGTCGTTCATAACTTGTTTTAAAATATTTAATTTTTCCTATAGCAAAGTTTATTCAGTAAATCAGCATGGACGTGGAACGAAAAACGTAAACAGTATTACTTGCATCAATTTAGCCCTAAAGAACCGGACCTAAATTATAGAAATAAAGAATTGGTCGAGGAAATAAAGGTGAATAAAAAATATATTTCAACATAACAAGCATATCAATATTAATCAATAATTTAATCAGGGACGGATCTAGGGCGAAAAGTTAACTTTGGTTTAGACTATTTAAAGAGGCCGCTTATTAGGCCTGAAACTGGATTATAAATGTACACCTTGTAACAAAAAAAAACACAATATTATCATATGTGTTTTTAAGTTTATTCATAATTATTATTGAATACATTAATATAGGTATATTTTAATTATGAAGGATTCCGTCTTACATGGGGTCAGGCAAGAGATGTTTAACTGTACTATACAATTAAACCAGTAGGTAGCGTAATTTAGTGGTTATCAACTAGGACAATGCCTGTCTAGTATTAACTTCAATCTATAATCGGCACACATACAATATATTAGAAGTCTTCAAGAAACCAATTTTGTTAACAAATATTAACCGAGGATCAGTTGACTTCCTAAATGCTCCCTCCTAAATCCGCCCTTGATTCTAATACCAAGTTATCAAACTAAAATAATACCATTATTTTTTCTTATAGTTTTAATTAATCTTAACATAATTGAAACCGAAATGGCACAAAATATTTGTTTTGCTTTATACAGAACAACTTGAGATTCTGGTTGAATCACGGTATAGACGGATACAGAGTAGACGCAGTATCGTATTTGTTTGAGGATTCAAGATTTTTGGACGAGCCTAGGAAACCAGAAGAGATTGCCTCGAAAGAAAAAAACACCTACAAACAATACTATCATATCTATACAATGGATTTGTCCGAGACGTACGATATGATTAATCAATTCCGGGACGTTATCGAAGAATACAATCAGAAAGATGGAACTACCAGGTATCGCTTTAAGCATAACTCTTATATTTTTATACATATTTTTTCAGCGGTGAAAAAATAAATTAAAAACTAACCATGGGATAATAACCATGACGTTTTATGGTTTGTATTCACGAAAAAATTTAAATTTGATTTTGTTGTTTAAAAAAACAAACGATATTAATATGGTATCCAATAACATTCAGAAAAGATAGTTTTCAACAACTACAAAAAACTAGGAATACTCTGTCTGTCTTTAAAAAATTTAATCCGATTATTTAATAGTAATGCGTAAAGCGATTAGAAATCTGCTAACGTAAAAGCTGTAGAATCGCATAATATAAAAATATAAATTTTAATGTGCGAGACATCACAGTCGGGTAAAATACAGGGATGGGTGAACGGTATTGCTGTACTAGTCTTTTAAACTTGAAAAAAATGTACCATTGCTAACGGAATACCGATTCTATGTAAGAGAGATCTGATGGATCAGTTTAAATTTTTAAAAATGATTGATATAGTAGAAGAATCAAATATTTTAAGTAGATTAGATGAACTTTTAATGTTCTAAAATTCGTAAAAATAATATCTAAAATTACGATAAATCGAAAATTTCAAGTATCTACTCGTATATGTAGCACTAACTTCATTATTTAATTTAAAACTATGAAATTTCTTAAAGAAAATAACGAATATTGTTTTCTAGAAATTTGTTGAAATATCCGATTCGTCAAAATTTAATTTTGTATAATTTATAAATTATTTTTGTAAAAGATTTAAATTTTATGAATTTTTTATTATAAAAAAAACAACGGAATTTCATAGTTTTAATCGTTTTGTTAAAATGGAATATTCTAATGCTCATAATATTTTTTTAAAACTGTCTTTAAGTTTTTTTTTCATCAGTAATTAAAATAAATGGAAAACATTGTATTAAATATTTAAGACTTTTTATCGAACAAAAATTATTTTATCAACATTTTTAACAAAAACTAAAAAAAACATGAAAACTTTAATTTCCTATAAAGAGCTCTAAAAAAAATGAATCTATTAATAATTATAATATCTATTTCTAACGGTGAATAACTAAAACTATATTAAAATGATACGAATAGTGATGTACCACTAGGAATATTCCTCAAGGAATGTTCTCGAGAACAAGGAATATTTCCGAAATATTCCCCGGAATCTCGAGAAATTTCTTTGAAAAATAAAAATTTGAGTGGGAATTAAATGACAGTCTATACTACTTTACGTCTGTACTCTGTACTAGTGTAACAGTATTCATTAGTGTATTTTGTTATTTATATTTTGTTATTTTGATTATAATTGATTATAGAATTATCGTTATTTCATTTTAGTATTTTCTATTTACATAGTTATTCGTTTTATACAATTAATTTCTGTTACTATAGTACCTAGTAAAATAAATTTTTAGTTTCACACTTCACAAACTTCTTAACATTTCTGTTAATAACTTTTTGTGTTTAAATCTAGTGTTCGTATTAGTATACAAAGTACGTTATTTGTTTGGTGCTAATGTTATGTTTATTTTTAAAACCTACTTAAATACAAAGTAGTAATTTGGATACTTTATTAATTGTTTCATTTTTCTTTTTTTTTATCATAAGTTCATAATATTGTTATTATAAGAGTATTAATTAAGATTTAAGAGTACTGCATGTTTTTATTTTTATTAATAAAGATACTGAAGTACCTATAGTTATATATAACGATATATTGTTCATTACATATATTAGTAAAATTTATTCAGTATTTCAGTATATTTATTTTTATTTTTTAACATATAAAAATAAAAGTTTGATCATTTATTTTGTGATCATTGTACAGATTTTAATTAAAAAATTAAATTATAGTTACTTAGTAACTTTTTTTAAAAGAATAAAAATCTAAACTGTAATAATATCAGTAAAAAACTGTAATTTGGATCATTTATAGCCATAGGTTTAATTTAAAACTGAAACCTATGATCAATATTTAAAAACTTATTATATTCCTAAGAAATTCCCGGTGTTGGGAATATTCCCGGGAATTTCACCGGGGAAATTCCCAAAAATATATTCTCAGGAATTTGCCCGTCACTAATCATGGTAAAATCAATATATTTCTCGTTTGACTAGGAATTCGAAAAAAAAAAAACGCGATATTTGAATATTATTATTTTTTCGACAGGGTTTTGATAATCGGAGCGTACACATCAAACAATATCACGACAACACATTACAGTAACGATACCGATCCGGGAACACATTTGCCGTTCAACTTCGGGCTGATCGACAAACTGAACGATGAATCGAACGCGGCCAATTTTAGCAACGCGGTATACTCGTGGTTGGACAATATACAGCTAGGCATTTGGCCGATTTGGGTGGTAAACGGTTGAATAAAATATAATCGCCTCCAGAGGTAGCTTGAAGTTGTATTGTATGGTCATTGAAGCATCGAAATATAAGGGATGAATACCATTTTGAGCAGACGGACGTACTTGTACATGGTACCTAATAGGTAACGCGCAAACGATAATATCTTAAAACAGTAACATCAATATAGGTCCTTATCAATGTCTTTTATATTATAGAAGATAAATGAAGTTAAAATATAATGAGATCAACTTACCACGAATTGTGTTATGGTGAGAATATAGTTTTTGAAGTATGATTTTGTGGTAGATAGGTAGTTAATTACTCATTTACACCCATCATCTGAAAAATTTCAAACCGCCTCTGGAGCACTATAATACTGAGCACAACATTCGATCGTTTATGTATCGTTTTGTACCGGTTTCAGATCGGGAATCATGATTATCGTCGCGTGGCCAACCGGTTCGGCTCCGAGATGGTGGACGCAATGAACATGTTGAACCTCCTGCTGCCGGGCACCGCTTTCACGTACATGGGTGAGGAGATAGGGATGGAGGACGCCCGGGTCCGGTGGGATCAGACGGTGGACCCGATGGGCCTGAACGCCGGGGCAGATGGTTACCTCAAGGCGAGTAGAGACCCGGAACGATCTCCTTTCCAATGGAACGCAGACATAAGCGCGGGATTCACCGCGGGCCCCAGAACGTGGTTACCCGTGAACCCCAACTACTGGAGACTGAATTTGGCCGCGCAGCAGCAGCAACCGCGAAGCCATTACGCCGTCTACAGACGGTTGACCGAGCTCAGGCGGACCCGTACCTTACAGCGAGGTGCTTTCGAAGGACACGTCCTCTCTGAGTGGGTGTACGCGTTCTCCAGGTAAGGATCCGGCACAACATCGACGAACGCGTACGGAAATCGGACAATAATTGTAAACTCTCCCGGGTCAACTTCGAAACAAAGATTTGTTTGTGTTATTATTTTATACTCGTAATATCGATAATATTATTATAATGTACGAACGAAATTCTTACAAACCCAAGAATGTTTATCGTCGTCCCGTAAATCATCTCCGCCGTGGTCGTTTAGCCCTTAAGCTCATGCGTAAGAGGATGGAAAGTGGTACATTTTAAAATATGCTCATATTTTTCAAAGTACACCTCACGACAGTATTCAAATTCCAAGGTTTCCTGATTTTCAAAATCCAGATGTCATTCGCCATCGATTTCTTCATATTTCCACAAACGGAATAATATAGTCCTGTTGATAATATATAGACCAGCGGTTCTCAAACTGTGACACGCGTACTACTAGTGGTATGCAAAAGACTACATGGTTGTATGCGGAAGGTCACGGTAGAACGGAAATTAAAAATTTGATATTTAATTCATATATTTATTTAAAAACAATAATAATGTTGTATTAATAACTAAATAATAATTTTACTGCCTTTCTTTTTAAAATAAATGTATTTAACTATGTAAAGTTTGTATGGTTCTATTTTTAATCATTAGTGATATGGGACTGATTGATAATATAGTCAAGTGGTATGCCAAAATAAATGTTTGAGAACCACTGGTATAGGCTATTATATAAGCACACAACATTACATTTGTCCGGAACATATGATTGCATCGAATAAAATATAACCAAACCAAACACCCGATTCAACGTAACTTTATATAATATATACGTTTAATAACACATATGTGAGTAATAAGTTGGTAGACATTTCGAAATCGTTTTACAAGTAGAAAGAATTTTTGTCGTCCGCGGGGGAGTACGTTTTGTCGTCACAATATTTAAAAACTGTACTCTACATGTATAAAACAAATAAATTTAATTAAATTTATTAATAATAAATCAATTAGATAAATTCTGTGATTCAAAATTTTACTTTATATTATTTAATATAAATTAAATAATAATTAAAAATTATTTTTTAATTATTAATATTAATATAATATTTAAAAAAACCCATCGAGTCCAACCATTTTCTGTTTTTACTAGAACTCATAAGAAATGTTAAACAATTTTGTTCATAACGTTTTATTCCATACAGGACATTTCAAGGAACCGAAACATACTTGGTAGTGATCAACTTGGGTTCTGGGTACGAAACCGTAGACTTGTCTGATTTGCAAGTAATCAAAGAGCAACATGTGCTAGTGCACACGTCAAGCGTGAATTCGGAGTATTCGGTCGGGTGAGTAATAATTGCAGGTTAATTTTTTTCAGGGATTTCGGATATTAAACGTAAATTCTTAAAAAATATGACTTATCATTTATGTGATTTAGAGATACAATTAATAAGAACGGTTTCAAAATGAGAACTAAATCGGCGTTAGTGTTGACCACCGACAAAAAGGTATCGACTTCATCGGCGGCATCATCAGTTTCCTCGATGAAAATAACTTTAGCGGCTTTGGCTTGCGCTTGGGTTAGCCATTGTGGTAGGCAAAGTGCTTGAAAATACGTAACCAATGCTATATCATTTTACTTTTTTATCTTATAATAATTATTGTATTTTCGTTCTTTTGATAAGAAAAACTGAAGTTTACCACCAAGAATAGCGATTAGACGATTGATAATATAGTGCATTTAAAAGTAATGTTTTTATTCAGCCCAATATTATATTACGTATACTACAATCGGAAGTGTTGTGAAATCATTATGTATTTAATGTAAGGACCAAAATTAAACTAAATAATTATGATAATTTAACGAATGGTGGTCAGTGTCGTTTATTGTTTTCTGTCTGAACACGCGTAATGGATTTAAATCATTAGTTTGTTACAATAAAGTTGTAACGTGGCAACGCTTGCTGCATAATTTACTCGAACGACAACATACTGCGTTAAAACTAGGACCACACGTCGCATGTAAATATGCTGTTTTACAATTGTAGTACCGTTAATTGACTATTATATTATATAACTTGGAAAGAAATATTATCTTTTATTTTAGTGCTAAACTTGATTTTTTTTTTTATCGTGATAATGCGTTGACAAAATGTACAAGCGTCCGTATGTTTTCCATCATTCACTAACGTACGAATATCAAAGTAAGTAAGACATTTTTATATTCTAAGGGAAACGAGTTACTAACGTTACTAAAATATATATATATATTTTTATGCATGATTTTGACATGTTAATAAAAAAAAAATACTGGATTGTCGCAATACAATTAAAATATTTTCTGATTTTTGTTAAGTTAATATTTTACTGTACTATTACTTTAAAAGGGTTTGACCCGTTTATAATAAATAAATAAATAAATAATTATTAAATTTTAACAAAATTCGTAAAATTAATATTTATTAGCATTATATATATTACAATAATAATTATAACTGTATAAGGTACTTCATAGTTATCGATATTATCTATTGATACACTAATTGTTAATTAAATAATATCTAATTGCGACTACCAACAATCATTGGTGGTCGCATACACTAAATTAATATAGTAATTCACATGAGATGGAAAATTGATATATTAAGTAGTATTTTTACACGGTTATTTCAAGAATTTGGTGCCATATAAACTGATAAACTCAATTAAATCTTCTTCTTGACATGTCCAGAACACAATTAAACTCAATCAATATACTAACGATCTGAATCGTCTTTACCTATTTAATAATATATTATTTAACTAATTCTTTAATTGTTTGATAAAATGTGATAATGATAACCTAAATTGCCGTTTATATTTTAATGTATGTAGAGTTATAGACAAGTGCAAAGAAATACAAATTTAATTACTTATAAACTAAACTTTGATACTGTTTCAGTTGGGCTATGTTTTAAACCCAAAATCTCGTTTTACGAGTGTATCATATTTTTCATATTTATATATATTTAAACATTTTAATAATATTAAGAACGTCATTGACTTTTAAAAATATGGAAAAATGTAGAAATATTAATTTGGTGGGGTAGAGTTAACCGAAAAGTATTTTGTTTATATTAATTTAATTTGATCAAAGTTTTAAGATAATACTTTTTTTATTGTAAAAGTTGGTTTAACCAATCTGATAACATTATTATTAAGTTCTTAAACTGATATAGTAATGTAGACTATTTTAAAGCTTATTCATTAGTCATTCCCTCACTCGGAATGTTTTCCAAAGTGAGTGGAATATCGACTTCATATTTACAAGAATAATTCATCTACGTCAGTAAACCGTTTCTATGTCTCGCTCTATATCTGTATATTTCCCATTTTTCTACTTTATTTTAATTATTTTATATTTTATTCAGTGTCAATATTAAAACATTTTTTTTATAGTACAACCAACCAATTAATTACAAACCAGAGACGTGTTATGATGTGTTGAAAATAATAGTTATTTATTTTGATTTTAGATTAAATATAATTATTTCAGAGGTAATCATTGGGTTATTTTTGATTTATATTTAGTAATTTATATTTTATGATTATATACTTGATTAAACTATATTAAAATTTTAATATTAATGTTAATTTTGATTATTGTGATTCATAAATATTTTAAACGAGAATTTCAATGTATATGACCTCGTCGAGAATGTGCCTGAAATAATAAAAAATAATTGTCAAATGATTTCAAATTATGCGCATTATGTTGAGTTCGTAAGCATTGCATGACCTAATGGTCCTTCGTTCTGGTAATGTAAGGTGATAATAAATTCAGTTTTGTATTCAAAACCATCGAAATATTTTCGGTTAAATAGATCGCTAATTGTGTACATTGATTTATGCTTAAACGTAGTTTTGTGAAATTTATTATGTGCATAGTTCATTGTTTTTACGCCCTATTACACCCATTAGCGAATGTAGAGTATATAATAAACGTGGATACATTTCCAAAGAATAAACAACGCAATAGGTTTTACCATTATGCTATGAACGTTTTGCAAACATTTATTACTACCCATACACAGTGGCGTGTTTCGAGGAATGGCAGAATTATTATTAATATTTGGTTGTATTATATTTTATGGTACATGATGTGCAATTTTCAAATGGGAATTAATTAAAATATGCTACATAAAAGCCTATCGCCAAAATTATCAACCGGATTTCAATGATAGTCCAACTAGGTTAAAATATTTACTTTGAGCATTGTTGTATTGTTTGTACTGAGCACATATAAGGGCACGCCCGGGCGTTTATTATTAACAATCACATAAATAAAATAACTAAAAATTGTAAATACATTATTACCCAATGACGAATTACAAACAAGTAATTTATTAATATATTCGCCGGTATAGTTCATCTCCCCTACCACCTTGGGAGATTTGTGTTGACCATGTACAATGCATTACCCGTCTGCAAGCGTGCCGTTGAACAAATACGAAATGCGAGAACATCGTTATTGCGCCACTGGACCTTGTTCGCTCAGTAGTATATGATAGTCATGCCATTGCTTTCGGTCGGTATACGTTCACATTTGCGTTCACATAGAAGACATCGAAAGACGCTGACAAAATATATCGCCTTACGTGGACGAGCTAGTGGTTTCGGTGATCCGCGGTAAAGGTATCTGCAGCACTCGCGATTTGTCGGAACGGGATCGATATCAATCCGCTGAACACCATTATGATCAAATCAACTTCGTATGTCGAGACATGCTGGTTAGTATGACGCGTATTATGTGAGGTAAAATAAAATATTTTTCGCGCTGACAACGAAACTGCAATGCCAGGATCTAAAATATAGCGTGTCTAAATTTGATCCAAGAACACCTCACCAGGTGCTTTTTTAATAGGCGTTTCTGTATTATCATATGCAACGTTATGTTTGGAGCAGTAGGATTACACGGAAACATTAGTACTTGAAAAATAAAAATTATACAAATTCGAATAATAAATCGCAGTACAAAAAAATCTCGTACACAATAGTGGACCGCACGTTGCTGCTTAGTGCCTGTAATGGTAAAACATTCATGTTAACGTGAAAAGTGTTGGAAAAATATAACGTCAAAATAGTTAAAAAATTAATAAATAAAACAATAAATGTAATTAAAATGTTGAGCGTAATTTCTTCATTATTATCACATTTCTGGTCGGACCCCAACCCATGTTAATTAATAAACAAATAAATAAATAAATTCATATCAATTAATATCATATGTTTCTACAACAGTGTATTAAGTTCATGAACAGTAAGTACGCGCAGGCCTATTGCATTATTGACAGTCTAATGGAAAACGTATCGATGAAATCGTAGTTGGTCACGATGTGCTAAGTAGCTATGATAATACTTCGCACCGAGTGTTGTGGACATTATTATACACGTCGGTTTGTTTTTCAATTCATTTGTACATTTGTATTATAGTGATCGTGGCGTGTAGAAGTAATGTAATGTAAAATAATGTAATAAAATAATGTAGAAATAATTTCGATGTTTATTATATTGTTGGAAGTACCGCAACAAACAGGTAAACGGAACATTTGATCATCCATGGTTAATGTACTTATCAAAAATATCAATAATGATGTACGCGTATGCTTGTCGTTAATGCTTACGAATTATGCTAATAACTCCTATACCCGTTTGATTTAATTAGACGTGTGTAAAGCATTATTATATCATAGGCTTCTCAAATACTCGAATTAATTACTTTTAGTTTTATTTAGTTTTATCTCTATATGAAGTACAAGGTTCATAAAACGCTCATAACATTTACGTTAGCGAATACTATTTGTGAACGAATACGAGCGCAAAGTTCTATTCGAAAGGTTAATGTTTTTTTATTTATTTTTATTTTCACTGAGCGGTAAATGAATCATTCCGTGGGGGCGCAATAATTAGTGACAACAATAATGTAGGATTTAGGTCTGGTAACAATATAACAAATAACGATAATACCGACCGAGTGTCACAATATAACCACTGTTATTGGCTTATCTTGGCACTTCACTTTGCTCCAACAAATGCTATCGCTGCAGTGTTCTTGTTTAGGTTTTCGAATCCACTTAAATGATTGTCGACAAGCAAAATGTGAAAAATAATACTTGCCAGTGGACTTGAATAAGCTATTTTTCGATATTCGCGGTGTACTACCAATTGTCGAACAACGACCAAGAAAATTCTGATGAAGTCGTAGATACCGCACACCGATTATTCACTGATCATTTTTTTCCCCAGCGTGGTATTGTTACTGTTGAGTATGGCGGAAAACTTCGTGAATGCGATGACAAATTTTGAATTCATCGACGATAAAAAGGATCTGGACTGGTGGCAAACAGCGGTTATCTATCAGATATATCCGAGATCGTTCAAGGATTTCAATGGCACCGGGATAGGAGATCTTAAAGGTGAGGTATTCTTTTACAACAAACACAACCATAGGCGTGCGAACGGGGAGGGTTATACACGGGCACCCGTTTAAATGTTGTAAATTTGGCTCTACATTCTAAGTCTAAGAGGAAGGGGTCCTTATTTTTGCGGATTTTGCTCAAATTAAATGTAATATATTGAAAAATATTTGGTAAAATGTAAATGATGTTTCACAATAGAAAAATAATTCTAAATTTTCTAAATTTTCGTGCAAAAATGTATTATGATAATATAACAGTTACAATTGAGTAGAATAGTATAGATCATAAATAATTTAACCTATCTGAGAAAAATATATGAGGCAGGAAAACGTGTTCATCGGTACATATATACACCACAATATTAAATAAATAATAAAAACAATGTTTATTTAAATATTTATAAATAATAATTTATTAAATATACTCGTATATAAACGTTTATTTTTAAAGTACCTAAGGCCCAAAAATATTTGCAGTTAACGAATAGTGTCCCGACAAAAATATATTTTTTAATATGTTTTATTATTTATATTATACTTTACTATAGTGCAGAGATTAAGGTCGATATATGTTACGTATTATTGTAGATTTTGAAATAGCAATTAATTTTGCAATCGCCAATATGTGGTCAACGATAGAAATTAAAGGTTTTCACTTCATTTTTGATCAAAGTTGGTGGCGAAAAATTCAAGAAATCAGGTTATCAGCAAAATATAACGATCAACCTTCGGAAAGAAAATTTTTAAAGATCATTTTTGTTTGCTATTTCTTAATCCAGATGAAGTAGAAAACTCATTTGTGTTTGATTTTATGTCATAAAATGTTTCAAATAATTCCGAAATTCTTAAATTTGCAACTTATTTCATGGATGTCATGAGTCATGCCGTATTTTATTCTTGTGAAAAAGATTGTCTACATATTATAATATATAACATTATATAACATATTATGTGTAATATTGTAACTGGAAAATGTATCACATTGTGTATACAACTTATGTAGATGTTCCTGTACATTTTATTCTTTGGAACATAATTCGTGTAACCCAAAATCATCAATTGGACACAACTCGTGTATCACAAAATAAACCACGAGACACAACTCATAAAACTCAAAAAAATCCACCGGACACAACTCCGTATTTAGGACACAACTCGTTTGTGACCAAAATATTGTAGACTCTCCCTGAAATACAGGTTTGCGCACGCCTATGAACATAATAGTCTTCTGTAACGGTAAAAGAATTGTATTTTTACTGTATTTACACTGTTGCGTGTCTCAGGGATCGAAGAAAAAGCTGAGCACTTCAAAGACATAGGTGTGGATTGCGTTTGGTTGTCACCTATTTTCAAATCACCCATGGCAGATTTCGGTTATGACATATCTGATTTCAACCAGATTGACAGCACGTTCGGCACGATAGATGATTTTATTTCGTTGCATAAAAGACTCAAGTCATTGGGTAATTATATATACTGAGATTTCTTTTGTCATATTCTTGTCATAAAGTGTTTGTTGCGTTTTCATGACATAATCTATACAACGGACGCTTCTAATTAACATATTAATTTAAATCCCAATGCCTTGTTGTCTAAGGATTCACAAAACAACTTTTGAAAATAGATTTCTTGTCATATGTTAGATACCTATATTTTATTTCCTTGCTTGAAAGAATGTAAATATAAAAATCTCTTACTAATATTGGACAAAATCTAATTGGAATTGTGTTGAGTATCTCAAACAATACGTATTATTATCTAATCAATTGCTCGTTTTATCATATCCATTGGCTCTTTTTTTTTGTTTGCTTTATCTGATCTTAACAATTTGCCAAAGCCGAAGTAAATTTACTAAGCTGTGTGAAAAAAAAAAAAAAGCATGAAAACAATAATAACAATGTAAGTATGCTTAGTTATCCAAACGAAGCTAATTCGAATATTTGTTATGTAGGCATAAAAATTATTTTGGATTTCGTACCTAATCATTCAAGTGATGAACACGAATGGTTTAAAAAATCAGAGCAAAAAATTGATCCGTATACAAACTATTATGTGTGGAAAGATGCTAAAATTGATGAAAACGGTTTGAAAATACCACCAAACAATTGGGTAAGATCCAAAATAAAATATATGTTCTATCATATTAAAAAAAAAATTGTTCAAGAATGATTTGGTAAATTATCAATTTCTTATAAAATTTTTATTAAATTTTTATTATTAAAACACAAATAATTAAAAAATAAAGCAGTATAAATATTAAAATTGGTAAATACTATAGTATTTGTAATAAATTTTAATACAGGCATTGCTTATTTTAAATTGTAAATTAAACGTATTTTACTCTTTATAACGAATCATTTATTTTAATTTTTATCTTAACAATTTACAAACATAATTCAATGAGATAGTTCAAATGGTTCATTAAATATTTTGAGTGTATGAAAAATGTTTAATTTAAAACATTATACATACTAATTCTATAGCGTATATACTATGTATAAAGAATAAAATAGAATATTTATATTTATAGCAAAAAAATTTTATTCTATGATGTTCCTTTGTGTATTTTTTAGCAAAGTTTATTTAGTAATTCAGCGTGGACGTGGAGTGAAAAACGTAATCAATATTACTTACATCAATTCGACCCTAAACAGCCGGACTTGAACTACCGAAGTAAAGAATTGGTTGAAGAGATGAAGGTAAAAAATGTTTTACAATCTATATAAATACTATAAATGTCATATCTAAGAAAACATCGTTTTCGTTGAGTAATTGTTTAGCGACTCGGCTATTTATTTATAAATAGGGAATTTGAAATGTTAACTTTTCGAAATATGAAATTTTACTGTCAGTAAATACTTCAGGTATTTATAAATTTAATCAATGTAAAATTGATATGATTTTTTAGAAATGTATATATTCTAAAGGTTTCAGAATCAAAGTTTCTCATTTATTTTCCTTTTTTTTTTTTGTAGTCTTCTATTATTCCAAAATATTTATAATTTGATGGACAATGGGTAAATCATTATTTTTAGTTAAAAGAATAATAGTTTTGAAATGTTATATAATCACTAATATTAATAAGCTTTGAAGACAAATATTTTTTAGATTTGTATAATTCAATAGTGGAAAAATAAAAAGAGATAAGATTAATGCCCAACATTTGTACAAAAAATAATTCACACCTTTTGATATTCAAACGCACAAAAAAGGTAGATGTAATTAAATAAGAACAACGTAAACTTATTACGTTGACTTATATACTTATAACGTAAACGTTATTTCATTTAAAAAAAAAAATAATAATAAAAATACCTTTGTAATAAAGTAGAGCATATTTCGGGAGAAATACATTTTAAATGTTATGAAGTAGAATTAATAATTAATAATTAGTTCTTTTTTCGCAGAACAATTTGAGATTCTGGTTAAATCTCGGCGTTGATGGATATAGAGTAGACGCTGTACCTTTTTTGTTTGAGGATCCAGAATTTCAGAACGAACAGAGAAAACCGGAAGAGATTGCTTCAAAAGAGAAAAATACATATGAACAATACATCCATACTAAAACGATGGATTTGAACGAAACGTACGATATGATAAGTCAATTTAGAGAAGTCCTGGAAGAATACAAACGAAAAGACGGAAAAACCAGGTACGAAAGATATGTACAGGTGTAATAAGTTGGTATTTTTTGCGAATTAATTGTAGAAACCGATCCGTCGTTGCGGACATTCAGTTATAAGAATTATCTTGGACGTCACACTTGAAATAAATTCGGGCGACCACAATTTGTCAAGTTAGAATAGTAAGATATATTTAGGTGAAAGGAAATCGTACTGCATTTGGCTAGGACCTCGAAATTATTGCGATGGTACTACGTAGCAATATAATATTATTTGGCTGCCTTAGTACTTTTTTTTCTCAAAACCTTGACAAACACACAATCGTGCGTAAGAGGTCTCTTTTTTTTTTACCAACCATGTGGTTCGAATTCAATAGTTTATTTTTCCCGCAAAATGTCATGTCACATTGTGTCTACAGGGTTATGATCGTCGAAGCGTACACGACCGTCAGCAACACCATGAGATATTACGGTGACGTCAACAACCCGGGAGCACATATGCCGTTCAATTTCGGACTGCTGACCATGCTGAATGACCACTCGAAAGCCGCGGACTTCAACAACGCAGTGCTCGAATGGATAAAAAACATGCCGTCAGGCGGATGGCCGAACTGGGTGGTTAGTACCGCGGGCTGAACTGGTGGAACTCGTGTTCATCAGTTAACATGTTCGTTAAACGTTCATTGTCCGATCGATTTTTCGCCAGATCGGGAACCACGACAACCCACGCGTCGCCGCCCGGATGGGCCCCGAGATGGTGGACGCGATGAACATGTTGAACCTGCTGTTACCGGGCACCGCGTTCACGTACATGGGCGAGGAGATAGGGATGGAGGACACCAACGTCCGGTGGGATCAGACAGTGGACCCGAGGGGCCTGAACGCTGGGGTGGACGGTTACCGCCAACTGAGCAGGGACCCGCCAAGGACTCCATTCCAGTGGAACGCGAACGTTAGTGCGGGATTCACCACGGGTCCCAAGACGTGGTTACCGGTGAATCCCAACTACTGGAGACTGAACTTGGCCGAGCAGAAGGAACAGCCGCGCAGTCATTACTCCGTCTACAAACGGTTGACCTCTCTCAGGAAGACTCGCACCATGCAGCGAGGCGCTTTCGTTGGACACGTTTTATCCGAGTGGGTGTACGCGTTCTCCAGGTAACAAATACCACGATCGATTTACTTCTGCCCCCGTCTAATCCTTGTTCACCATTCTTATAATCACCTCACGTCCACAAGTGTTGGTCAATCCCAATATCATCTCCCATCTAATCGACTCTTGTTTATGCTATTCCATGCGGTCCAAGAACCGACCCGGTTGAAACCTTGAAATATCGATCGGAACAGTTACATAGCATTGTAGATAAAATTGTAAGAAACTGCGTGTAGCCATTTAAAAAAAAAAAAAAAAATCGTTTTTTACAATGAGATTTCACATGCAAAACTCATATTACTGCAGTAATATATTTTCCTGTTACGGTGTCGAAATAATGGGGTGCCATGGTGTAGTTAGAAATCAATCTAGGGGAGAGGATAGGCAGTAATTCGGGCAAAAATCATATCCAGTAAATTGAAATATAATAAAATACAAGTTAATTGAAAATTCACAAAATCAATTTTCAATTGGAAAATAATTCGTACGCCAGTTACTTTAAAGGTATCAACCCTAGAATATATTATTTTATGATTTTTTTTGTACTATTACGATTAGGTATGATAAAATTAAATTAAATAATTCCATTTTGATACATGCTTTTATTTTTGTAAATATCTATAGGTAATATAACTACAGATTTTTTAATTCATATGATGTATGATTATACGATATGATCAAAACGGCAAATCTATTTTTGGAATATTTAAAAGGAAAAACCTAAATGTTGTTTTTACTCCATATTTTTAGACACTTAATCAGAAATAATAGTATTGGATATTAATTAATAATTATTAAAAATGATGAGTTCAAATTTTAGTTCAATAAAAATTTTAATAGTTCGATTCGGGTTTGTTTGAATAGTTATAAGTTCGGTTGGATTCAGGATCGTAATACTTTAACAATGTTCGATTCGAATTCGATGAAAATAAGGTCGATCCATCACTACTTTAAAGGTATTTTCCCATTCAAAATATATAATTTTACTTTCGTGACATATACATCAGGTGTTTAGACAGATGCATTCACCAACATATGATTTTATTTATTTTGTATTTATATAATATAAACAACGCCCTATAGGCTTCAGTACATATTTAATACAGATATATGAAATTAATAATATTTCAGTTACATTTATGTATTTATAAATCATATAAGAATATTAAATATTTATTACATGATCTAAAAATTTAAATAATATATTTAAAAAGTGGTTTATTTTCTGAAATTTATGAACAATGGAACAATGATGAACCGAATTAATTTTTCATCTTCAAAATTCGATAGGTTCTGATATGATAAATGAGGACTTTCCCAATTACGCTTAAAATTACCTTTTCATATACCAATTAGGCTTTAAACATTTAAGGATCGACAAAACAATTGCGTTCTATATATATTTTACATTACCTATGCAGTGCAATTAATATACTAACCTAAAATATATGCAGTGCTATTGGTATAAATACCTTAAAATACAAATTTTGTTTTAGGCGCAATTGGTCCGATAAATGATGACGTGACATTGAATTGCACAGTTGTAGGACGGATAATCTTTAAATATTATAACGTTTAAATTTAACGATTTATTATTATTTTGCAAAATCTATAACCACTATTCGCATAATGATCGAATTAAATGTTTTATGTTAATAATATATTTGGCAATTGAAAAAATTTATGAACGTTTATAACGTTATTGACGACGTTTTGTACAGAACGCTGCCGGGAGCTGAATCATACTATGTGGTGATGAACGTGGGTTCCGAAGACATAATCGTCGATTCATCTCGACTCTTGCCGTCGTCTACTGACCGCGTTTGCAAAGTGCACACTTCAAGCATCAATTCAGAACATTTAGAAGGGTGAGTGCGTCGCGTTTAAGTTAATTGGTTGTTGTACATGTAATGGTTAATTCATATAATTGCATGCAACGATTATAAATCATCCCGGAACCGATCATTATATAATTCATACTATGCGATTATCGTGTTTTTTTTCGATTTAGCGATTTACTGAAAATTGACGGTTTCCAAATGAGACCCAAATCGGCGTTGGTATTGACTACCAATCATTCAGATTGAGCGCTCATCCTCCGAAGTGACAAGTAGCACTTATTGAATACCACTGATAGACCAACCAGTGCGGACCGTTACGACAGCGTGCATCTTAAAAGAATTATTGTATTTGAACATTTTATGTTATGTTTTTTTTTACTATTTTTTTGATTAATTAAAACGGTGGTGGGTTACACGAACTGGTGTTATTAGTGCCAACGAAATATATTTATAAATGTAGTATTGTTATTGCGGCTGGAACGGAGACGTTATTCCTTCAGAACCTAATAAAATAATAATAATACCTCTTACACACGAAAAAAATTAAAATATAGAATTAATTAGTGCGCGTGGTCAATGTAACAAGTTTCCGGAAAATCAATGGTTGATTTCACTTAGAAATACTTCATGCGTCATACTTGTAACATTGCAACGAGTGACTGTCTCGCAATTTGGGCTTGAAGAATAAATCATTCGATACAACGGACTTTAGACGGCGCAGTGCAATCACACGATTTACATATAAGCATATTGAATTGCGGATCTAGAGCCGTGGACATACAACGCCAAAACCCAAATTGTTGTATTAAAATATTAATGATTTGGTTTTTCACATTGTTCTATTTATTTATTTATTGGTAATTACGCCCACTAGAGCAAAGATTATATAGGTATATAAATAATAAAGGTGAGAAATAAGTATTGGTATACAATTAATGAACAAATAATAATTTTTTTAAATTGCAACTGTTATCAAAAAATAAATAAGAATCAGACAGATGTTCGTTTCAACATTGTAAAATTCTATAAATAGGCGACAGGTAGCTAAATTTTATTCACCTGATGCATTATGAAATAATGTATTATGACTAATATTAACCGGGGGGGGGGGGGGCTATGTTGCTAACAAGACTCAAAAGCTCAGGACAGTTTATGGATAAGGTATAAGCTTTTGAAGTTGTGATGTTGGCCCACCTGTTTTAACCTAGAACTTTGAAATAAGTACTAAATAAAAGTTAATGGCTAACAAGAATTTATAAGTTATTTAGTTGGCCGATAACTTTTGAAATTTTGCAATTTGAATTTATGTTTTGACCTGATAATGTGAAGTGCGTATAAATTAAACTTTAAATTAGCAAATATGAGTAAGTCAAATTGTTAAAGTAACTACAAGAAGTTTTGAAGAATTAAAAACAGATGAAAATTTTCAAAAGGTATGGAATAATATGGAATAAGGCTGCTTTATTGCAAAAAATATTGGTTTTGTGAACTACTTCATATAAAATCAGTTTCGTTCAAATTAAATGATGGTAAAAACCAAACAATACAATATGTTCAAGAATATTTTCTTATAAATGTATTGTTTTAAATTATAGATACAGTCAGTGGCGGAGCCAGAGAGAGGTTTATGGGTCTACCCCCCCCCTTGGCCTAAAAAAAAGAGAGGACATTATTGTCCTATCAATGTCTTTATGATTATTTTTTTTCATTCTTTTTCTTTTCATCGATTATTTTTATTTTTCTTATTTGATAAAGTAAAGTATTTACAATCTGTATTATTTATATACAATAAAATAATTAAATTTGATAATAAAGGATCATAACGTGAAATGGCGTTCCACCATGGATCATAACACTGGATACCCTCTAGCATAGGGTAGAGAATTTTATTTTATTTATTTATTTATTTATTTAGCGCAGGTGACTTTATGATCTATGATTTATGTATTATATATTATGAGGTTCGTTTTGGTGCGTAAACAAATAAATCGGAAAGTTTTCCGATGCTTGAGTATGCCACATACAGCGGTCTATGTGAGAAGCAAGGATTTTCCAAATTCAGCTTGCACACTTATAACGATTGCTTTTGTGCTTTGTTGATGGTCATAGCAAAAGCAAGTCAACTTGTTCAAAAAAAATAATAAAAAATAATAATAACATAATCAAGGATAATAAATAACTTCTTTTGCACTAATTATTATTATTATTGAAACTAATGGCAACCATCAATAAACAAAAATATTCATTGAAAATCTCAAAATGTCTGTTTGAGCACTGCTCGGGGTTGAACTTATCACTTTTTAATTTAGCCTATCTTTTTTCCATCGGTCTAATATTTCTCTGTAACAAATTTCGGCGCAATCGTTTAAGCCGTTTAGGAATGTTTAAAATACAAACATACAGATATCCTTTTTTATATATATAAATTACATGCTATGCGTCGATTCCTAAAACCGCACACTTTCGGTAGGTTAAATCCACACACATTCAATAGGTTAAAAGCGCACGCATTTAATATGTAAAAACCACACACTTTTTTAAAAATGTTGTATGTTAACATGTTGCTCTTCGATATAGTTGCAAAAATGTAGCTTCCGAATGAAATACATGCACCTTGTGGTAGATTATGGACATTAAACCAACGAATGTTTTAGTAACTTTTTTTGATTTCTATGGTTAGGATTTCAATGTTATTTGTATGGCTGAATGTCATATAGACCTATGACTAAGTCCAGACTAGCAAATATTGCACTTCCATAAAGTGCGTTAGATACTTTAATAATTAGATTGATTTCCGGGATTCTTGGACGGATACTAGTTTCGTTCCGTTTCGTCTTTTGCAAACACAAAACACCACATTATATTTCCAAGCATAAGATAGCAATTAGCTCGCTTTTATATATTGAGAAACCTTCGATATTTTACGTTAACATTGTAAAAGTCGAGGCATTAACAGAGATTGGTCATGAAAAGGACCGCTTTGAGGAACTATATGAAAATTTTAGTACAGGTGTTGGCAAAATTAGTTAGCTGTTAGAATACAGTATTAACAGGGGCACCAAGTTTTCTGCCACGCCCCCCGATTAAGTACGTAAATATTTATATAATTTTATTCAATTTGTTAACACTTTTACAGCTTTGTGTTGAGACGTCAAACTTGCCGAACCGAGGAAATACTTGTCTGATTCCATTATGCAACGTTTAATTTAAACCATGCAGCAATACGAATTGGTGAACTGAAAAAAAATACACGGACTCAATTACTTATGTATTATTAACTCAATAAAACAATAATTCGATCAATGTGACGTTCCCATAATCGTGATGTAATATGTACGATGTGATATTTAATAAGGACAAAATGAAAGTACAACACATTCTAAATGTATATTTTATTATATTTTCAAATAATTTATTGAAATATATTGCAAACGGGATGATTAAAAAGGAAATCTTCATCGAATGTTTACGCGTCAACTGACCGTCCTGCCAATACTAACGGTGGGTCTTGTAACGTGCCCACCTGACCATTAAGGTCACATTCGTTATCTATGGGGATTACGGTGTCGGGGTCAATGGCCTCCGTCACACGTTCCCTCAAATCCCATAGGGTCCAGGGGCAACCGTCGTCGGTCGCTCGGGTTATCCGTGATACAGTGAATTCTGCCGAGCATACACCGTGCTCAGATCTGTGGAACAACCTAGGAGTGCGCGGCGTGGTGTTGAAAACAAGGGTTGTCGAGTTCTCGGACTTCTGCCGCATCTCTGACCATTTTGAAAAGCACAATTTCAACAGGAATGGGAATCTGGATCCTGCAACACATATACACACCTCTGTTGAGTTATACACGTTGTACAACAGAGCGACCCACAACGTTACATAACGTTATACTAGGTCGTAATAATAATACAGCGCAATTGCAATAACATACTCGACGATTCTAACTTCATATGGTTCAACAATAATAAAGCTTTAGCCGCCAAGTCGACGCTTTTCATTTCTAAAAAGCCCGTCGAACATTTAGCATTAGGTAGCTTTTGGGGCACTGTAAAGAAAGAAATCATTAAAACCATCGCTTATATTTCTCATGCGTGAAATCGAAGTTCTCCGTAGAATGACTAACAAATCGTTATTGACCGGACCGCGTCCTTGCAACCGAGGGCTTTTATCACTGCCCTACGAATGTTTGAGCCGCAAATGTCCATCGGTGCGTTGAAGAAATGCAAAATCTATAAGAGAGTTTTAATTGATTTCATTATAATAGTATGTTACATCTATACATCAACACAGTGATATATTTAGAACTCATCCTGGGAAAGGAGTGAGGGTTTACTTACTAATATAATTTATTTACGTATTTATCGTATTTTTGGTTATATTTGTAATTCGATCAATGAATATAATAAAAGGTAAAATATTTAATTCTGTAACATGTCTTCGGAATTTAAACTTTAATTATAACATAAAAATAAACATAAACAATAACATAACATAAAAAAAAAAAGCTAATTGAAGTAACTACTAATCGTTCTTTAAAAACATCATTACTACATCTATTTAAGCGTTATAATATATGCATAAACTTACTTTCGACGGAGCTGCGATTCGACGCTCATTCACAAACTTTGATTTGCTCGAAAATCTATTTAATTTGCTGGAAGTATAATTTTTCTGTGCTGGTGTTCCGTCCGACAATTTGGTTACCAACCCTTGGTCGTATATATAAGAATGTTTAGAATATCTGAAATATCCGATTAAATAATAATAAATATCCGATAGATATGCGACGCTGCCAGTTAATGGTAATTATAGAAGTGCACGTATTGTCGATATTAAGAAAAAATTCATTAGATGTCAAATCTCATATTCCAATTCCAAAAAAAAAAAAAAAAAAAACGCTTAGAAATTGACTTGACTGACTTTACTACTGTGCGTAAGTTTCCGAGGATCAAAAAATGTATGGTTTTTTTTTTGTGTAATATTTTATTATTTTTTTAAGTAGATGGCAAGGATCAGGATCTGTATTTAAATAGAATACCCTTACACGGAGACTGTTACGATCTGAATTTTTAAAATTGCATCTCTTACTTGACTTTTATTTTGGTCTTCTGACCTAACGGCAACAAGTGCAGGTTGGATACGCAACGTTCGGCAGCCTCGACGTCGTTTAGCTCGACGAGAACTTGTTTATCTTTCATTACCTTCACAGCCGTCACATTGCCGTACAGGCAGAACATATTGAAGACCTTGTCACAATTTATTTCACAACCCAACCCGTGTACAAACAGTGTTCTTCCGGGCTCAGCGCGCTGTTTCCATGACGATGATAACCGGTGGCACGGCAGTACAGAAGAATCTCCGTTGCCGGACTCGGGTTTTCTGGCAATCCGCTGCATTTTCCTTGGCCATACCTTGTGGTGTTTGCAAGCTTTGCTAGAGTATAAATTATCATTATGAGCGTAATGACTGCTGTTATTCAAACGAAAATAAAAATTAGTTATTTGTAGCTAAATGATACGATAATACTACTAACATATATTCCCACATCAAAAGACGATATTGAGGAAGTTGAAAAAGTTTACGAAGATATATAAGAACTCTTATAATTAACAAATCAAAGGATAATCTCATCTCAATAGGTGACTTTAATGCGATCATTGGTGAAGGATCAGTTGGAAATTATGGATTAGGGAAAAGAAATGATATAGGTGACATACTATTCAAGTTTTGTAGACAACATGAGTTGGTTAGAAGTAAAGACCATGATGAAAAATAACATGTATAATAAAGTTTACAAAATAATCAAGACATATTTCAGAATGAGAAAAACAAAATGTGCATATACAAAGATAAAAATATACCAATTGAAGAAGAAAAAATAGCTGACCGATGGAAAGAATATGTAGTATCCCTATTAGTGATGGGAATGAAATCCGGATTCTTCGAAAATCTGCCAATTCTGGATTTCGGATTATGGATTTTAGGCTAGAAAATCCGAGATTTGGGTTTATTATTGAAAATTTCTGTATTCTAATCATATAACTTTCATTGCACCACTTTGTAGATTGTAATTTTAATTCTCAGACAAGATAATGGTGGTCTAAAAAAGATATCTTAATAATTGGTAAACACTTCAAGTCTTAAATAACATTATTTTTGGAGATACAACTAATAATAACTAAAATGTATTTTATGATAACCGACTTATATATTAAATATTACATAAAAACCTTAAGAAAAAAAAATAAAAAAATATATAACAATTATATGAAATTCTTAATTAGGTTAAAATATCATTTAATTTTGAGAATATTTAATTATTTTGTATTTAATATAAATAATTCTTCAAAGAATACTAATTTAATGTTTTCAAATCCGAAATCCGAATTCAATGCCAAATCCGAATTTTAGGATCCGAAATCCGGGCTTACAGTAAAATCCGGATTTTCAAACTCCAGCGAATCCGGATTTTTTCCATCACTAATCCCTATATGAAGATAATTATCCCGAGTTATTGATTCAAATGCAAAAAAAAATGGAGATGTACAGAAAAACATGAAGACTAAAACTATTTTTAGAACGGAATTCGAATATGCATTAAAAATCATGAAAGAAAAATAAAGCACCTAGACCAAATGATATAAATACAGAACTACTATAATATGCCGACACAAAAACAAAAGAAGAACTATTTAAATTAATACATGACATACAATACAGGGGCTGTTCCAAAAGACTTTTACAAAAGTACACTAGTACTATAACCGAAAAAATCAGGAGCAGATCAATACAATAACTTAAGCTTAATATGACATGCTTCCAAACTTCTAACAATAATTATAAGTAAATTGAGTTGGGAATAAAATTGAAGAACAGCTAGATTTCGATCAGTATGGTACTTGAAAAACAAAGATACCAGGGAAACAAAATCTAGAAGAATAAAAGATAGAAGTAATAATAGGAGGTATCCTAATATCAATGATACGATTTGCAGATAATAGTTTTGCTCGCTACTTCAGAAAACGAAATACAAACAGCACTTATTGAAATGGATAACATATTTCTAACATTCAAATTAAATATAAATACAGAAAAGACAAAAGTAATAGTATGCAGTAAATAAAATGAACCAAACATTAACATTAATGTATAATTTGGGCAGCATAATTAGTAATGATGCAAGATCAAAAAAAAAAAAAAAAAAAATATAGAATAGGACAAGCAAAAAAGGCATTCTTACTTAAAAGTAAATTACTAACATCAACGAATGTAGGTCTAAGAACAAGAAAACCTTTAATTAAAACATATGTAGGGAGTACTGCATTATACGGCAGTGAAACATGGACATTGAAATAAAAAGAAGAATCCAATTGAGAAGATATAGAAATGTGGTGCTGGCGAAAAATGGAGAAAATAAAATGGACGAAAAGACAAACGAAGAATTATTAGTTTTAGTCAAAGAGAATAGAACATTGCTAAGTAATTTAAGATCAAGGCGATGGCATATAATAAGTCATACGCTAGGACACAATGAAGAACTCCATAGCACCACACTAAAAGGTATGATAGAAGGGAAACGCGGAAGAAACAAGCAAATAATCTCTTATTTAAGTCAAATAATCAAAGATGCACGAGTCAATTCGTACAAACAACTTAAATATAAAGTATAAGACAGAGAATCATGGAGATAACATTTGTAGTAGACCAATCTACGGATTGAATACTAAAAAAAAATTATAAAACTTTTGGACACGTACTCGCCGCTCGTATGGTGTCCGGTCGCTTCTGAACGTTGGCCTCCGTCGAAAACCGGATGCCGTCCAAATTCAACGCATCGACGGCGAGCAGTGCGCAACAACAAGCTCTGTCCATTTTCATGTTCATATCTATCCATCTTAAGAGCGAAATGTAATAGTCTTGAGTCAACGATGAACGAGTAGAACAACAATTTCAGGACGACCGTTTTTCAACTGTGGATTATGCGTGCTATTAGTCTAGAAATTCTTTGAATGAAATTCAATAGGCAATCGGAATAAACATTAACGTTTTCATGGTTTCGATAAACTGGCTGTTATTTTTAGCTATTTAGTAAATGGCCGGTAAAAAAAAATAGTACATTATTTTACATTTTATTTTTTTCGTTTTGTACCATGAATCATAGCTGTTCCGAGAGAAAGGGGATCGTGAAAAATGTCCTACAGCGTCCAAAATATAATGAATTTATGGGGTATCAAAAAAAATACAAATTATGACTTTGTAGTTACTGTATAGGTGGTAAACACCAAGAACCATTACCATAGTCCATAGAATTTATTTCATATTATCTATGCATTGTAATGAAAATTATTACATCACCCAATTATAGAATAAATTATATCGATAATATAATTTAGTTTTAAATCGAGTCGTGATTTTGTGTCTTTGTACATATCTGACGATGAAACTGATTCGAAATCGGAGATATATTACCAATATAATACCACTCCTGGTTAATAATTTATTTATTAATTTATATATTTATACATAAAACTATATATTTACTTATTCATTGACGATTATTAACAATTTACTAATTTTTGTTTAATTTTATTATCAAATAATTAAATTATATTTGTTATAACTAGGCTGCGGGTTTATATGTGGATTATAATATGGATTTCTCTTTGAAATGTGTAATGCGTCCTAGTACGGCTAGTTGTAACTTCATGATCCCAAAACTACAGCTTGAAAAATAATCATTCGATACAACTTACTTTAGGCGGCGTGATGCAATTACACGTTTCACAAAAGTATATTAAATTGCCAGTCTAGAGCCGTGAACATACAACTCTATACCAAAAGTAATTCTATTACAATATTAATGATTTAGTTTTTCAATATTGTATTTATTTATTTATTGGTAATAATATCTGCTAACGTTAAGAATACATTAGGTATACATTTAATGTAGATAAGGAATAGATATTAGTGTGCGATTAATGAACGAATAATAATTTTTTTAACTTCCAACTATTATCTAAATATAAATCAATAGCAGATAAACGGTCGTATGAATATTTAATTAATTCAAAATTATTTAAATTTGTTGAATTCTGTAAATAATATCTTATTTAATGGCAGTCCTAAATATCAGTGAAACTTGTAATTCATAAAAAGTAAAATCAAATGATTTATCAAGCGATATTAAAACTATAAATACATAATTTATAAAAAATCTTAAGATATTCAGTAAGAATTCATAAGTTATTCAAATATATTAATGATTTATTTAACTATTCCTACAAATACTGCATCTAATAAAGTTTCTCAGATCTGTGTTCATTTAAAATATATTTAAGAATCATAATGCGTCAAGAACGATTGAGCAGTTTAGTAGTTTTATATATACAAAAAGAATACCATTAACGATATAATTGACAAATTATTGCTGGAGCTTTAATAAGATATAGTCATTTGATACAGAAGTATTCATTTAATTAATTAAATCTATTTATTATTTTATTATTATTATACAATCCATTATTTTTACAGTATTAAATTATAGTATTTCATATTTATTAATTTGGTGTAAGGAATCGTACCATCAAATGTTAATTGTAATCGTTAATCCATATATTAATATATATTAAAATATTTTTTCTTTTTATTTAGTACATTTGTTGTAGCATTTGTTGAATATTAGAGGGTGTAAGCTGTAAGTACTTGCTATATTCATTATCTTTCGTTAATACCCACTTCATAGTTTCAGGTTAAAACATCATGCAAATTGTATAACATCAAAAGTTAATGGACAACTGTATGACTTGGAAATTCTTTATAGTTAATATTTATCACTTAGTACTGATTTCGAAGTTCTAGGTCAAAATGGATGGGCTAACTTCGCAAGTTCAAAAGCTTAGAGTGGTCAATAGAATGACTTGAAAATGAATTCTAATCAATAGCTTTTGTTTGATACTGATTTCAAAGGTCTAAGTCAAAACAGGTGGGCTATGTGAAGTTGACTCGACTTTTAATTTTTTGGTTTCATGGTATTGACTTGCATATACATGCAAAAAATTTGCAAAATAATGGCACAGCTTTAAAATAAATCGAAAAACATAGGTGAGCTAACTTTGCGAACGCAGAGTATACGTAAAAACTTAGCACGAAGTTAAATTAGCTTACTATTCTTGTGATTACATAATGTATTTAAAATATTTATAAATAATTAATCACTTGAAATATTGTATTATTTGTTTTCAGTGAACTAATATATTTCGATATTCAGTCTTGTAAAGAATACTTCAGAAAAAGTAATATTAATATTAAAATTATAATTTATCATCATTAAATTAGCATTTAATATAAGTATAAGTTATAAGTTTATAAATTATAATTTTAAATTTTACAAATATCC